AAACGTAGACTGGATTGTAAATTAGAATTTATTACAGCGGACTGTACTAGCCAAAAAAGGTCAAAAGGCCGTAAAAGGTCGGGGACCGCTGTGTTGGACTGCATTAATAACCCACTCTGCTTTCTGGTTTGACATTTTTGGAGTCTTAATTGTTATAAATGCTGCTGAAAACAGGATGTGGCCATGGAAAGAGCTTTTGTGAGCGTAATGACTTTCTTTTATCATTAGCGATACGCACCAGCTGTCATTAAACAGCGTTAGCTGCTATTCAGCTATGTGCGCTAACAACAGTAGACAGAAAAATATGAAAATGATTCATACTTAATGAAAAATCATTTTGTAAAAAACATCACTTACATGAAGTGTTTGTGCATTTTATTTTATAAGTGTATCAAACGGGCCGCATTCAACTCCCTAGTGGTCCACTTTTGGCCCACGGGCCGTATGTTTGACACCCCTGTTTTGTGTTTTCTCTGTCCTGGGCTGTCTGTTTGGCTGTTTTAGCCGAGCCGGAGCACCAGAGGGCGTGGCCTCCAATTAAAGAAGGGCGGTATTTAAGGGGGATTCAGTGCCAGAGCGTCTCACCTTGCTAGCGGTAACTACCCTATCATTTGGCTAAGTGATTTTTGATCTTTGACCCTGAGCCCTCAAGCTCTGAGAATGATCTGCTGAAACTCTCATTAAAAAACAAAAAAAAATTCTAGATTTCTCAAAAGAAAAAATAAACAACCAAACACGTCCAACAGTATTCATTTAATTATTTCACTCTTCCACGTGAGACGCTTCTTCCGCGGTTACCTCATACACTCATTTGTGTCCACGATGGCTTCTTTGTTTTGATGCTCCTCTTTTTTTTTTTTTCCCTCCCTCCAACATCACGTCCCCCTCCAGTAATTAGCAGGTTCCTCTGTACGGTAAATGAACTCCAGTCTGTTTTCGTCAGTAGCTGTCGGAGGAAGGAGCTGCCAGACGCTGCTGCCTCCGTGGGCCATAATTGAAACCATTTGCGGATCAGGTGGAATTCTGGGATTCTGGCTTCGTCGCACAATCCCAAACGTGTTATTTTCTCTCTCTCTCTCTCTCTTTCCTTCCAGCCCCGGAAGACTGTAAAAGTTGCTGTCGTTTTCTCCCTCCCTCTTTCTCTCCCTTTTCCTTTCTCCCCCTCTCTAATTTTTTCCACTCACAGCAGGCTCTTGAGAGAGGTCAGCAGCTCGCGGTGGCGAACGCATCAACTCACAGGCGGACCTGGAATACTTCCTGAGACTAATGGTTTCACCGTAACGACACAGGAATCTGTGAAAAAAGTAAGTCGAATTTCACCGTTTCTGCCAGAAAAATGAATAAATTAGGAATCAGATTAACGTTTTAAGCCCAGAGGAAAGTTTGTGTCAACTTGGCTCACAGTGCACAGTGACATCACACATGAGAATAAATCACATTTTTCTATGTTTTCAGGTCAACAGACCCAGTAGAAAAAGCTAGACTGGTTGATTATTATAGATTTTTATTATTATTTCACATTTTAAAGCACCGGCATGGAATATTTTACTCCAGACGGTCGCTTCATCGTCAGTTTAAAATAAATGGAAAGCTTTCATTTTTGGCCTGGTTCTTAAAGGGAACTGACGGTTTATGTGTTTTAGCGAGTTATTATGGAATCCAAGGAAGTTCGCGGCAACCCTGAGTTATTTCTTGAGACAACTTGCCATGTGAGTGAGGATCAGGGCTGATTCTAAGCGTTAAAGTCACTGAGATCTTTCGAAAGGCCTTTTTTTTTTTTAACCGTTTTGTAAAAAGAAGAAAAGAGGGAAACAGTGCCCCCCGTGGTTGGTCAGGTTAAGCTAATACCTATCCCGAAACGAAAACATTTTCGATAAAACCTGTGATGCAGTCCGCATGGGAGTGAACTGAACTGATTGTTAGGGTAAAGAGTTTAGCTCCAACTGAAATAAATCTTTATTAAGGGGGTAATTTTAAGGAAGTAAATTCAATATAAAGCTTTTTTTAGATAAGGGGGTAATTTTAAGGAAGTAAATTGGATATAAAGCTGATTTAAAAAAAAAAAGTATGAAATAGTTACACTAGCTCTCAATTTGCATTTTTTAAAAATATAACTTTCCAATAAACTGTCATTACTTTGGAGTTTCATCAAGGTGCAGGTGTCAAACATACGGCCCGTGGACCAAAACCGGCCCGCCAGGGTGTTCAGTCTGGTCCGCTTGATACATTTTGAAAAGTTAGATTTCATTCAAGTATGAATAAATAAAAATACATATCTAATATACTTGTACTTCTTTGAATGAGAACAAAGGAGAAAAACATAAACTTATTTATAGCTAACTATGTTATGATCGTACTGGTCAGAATCAGTCTGATGTCTTGCTTTCGCGATATTTTGCTTCGCGTTGAAAGGTAGACTACACACGTGCCATCGAGGATGCAAACGTAGAGGTATTTTTTTATTGCGTGTACTGCGGTTTTCGTCATCGACCAATCACCCAGCAGAATTGAACTTCCCAACACTGTAGCAACATAGTAATTGCATGTCCTTATGATCCATGATAACATTACCAAAGTTTCCCAATCCTTCTGTTCAGTTGTGCGGGACGCCTGAGCGGAGCTGAAGATCGCGGGGAGGCCAAAATGATCGCACATCTCGGCGTTCTTTTGGTCGCTGCTGCTGCCGTCGGCGCACAAGTCAACCCAGGTGACGGTTATTCTTTAACGTTCCTTTTTTTTTTTTTATCGATGAGCAATCCAAGATAGACTAAAGCCTGAAGTTTAAGTCGGGTTTTGTTGCTATGTTGTATTCAGGCTTAAAATAGATTTTTTTTTTCTGAAAGAGAAGGTATGCTAACAAGATGGAATAAGAAAACAATTTAAGGTGGGTGGGCTTAAAAATGTGTGTGTGTGTGTGTGTGGTTTACCTAATGGTCAGACAGCAAATATCCTAAGAACAGGCAGGCCTTTCACAAGCGCAAGGCACATGTAGGGGGGGGAAAAAAAGGAAAAATTGTAGGCATGTAGTTAGGTCCACACACACACACACACACACTTCTGACTTTTCCACCTAGAATATTTCCCCAGTTAAAGGCTTATTTGTTCTGCCACATGTCGCAATGCTCAGGGAGGGGAAGGTGAGTAAAACAGATGCCCCTTAATTACCAGGTACGAGTGATCGGAGTAAACGGTGGCTGTAAAATATGGATAAGACTGCATCATCTTCTTTTTTTTTTTTTTTTAAACTTTAAAAAGTTATGAAAGATATTTCCATACAGGCAGATTAAGGGGCGCCTAATGAAGTCGGACGGTTGAAGTGTTCAGTCACGTGCCTGGTGTAAATGATGAAAAATGTTTAAGAAAAAGAAGCCTGTGCAGTTCAGAGGCCACTCCCTTCTCATTTTGCTTAGACTGGCACCTACACAGCGATGCCTCTGTTTGGATTCAGGAGTCCTTGCGGTGCAGCAGGAAAAGGGGCTGGTGGAGAGGGATGAGCCCAAACCACTTCATACTTCCACTTCGTCCTGGATACACACATTCATGATTAAACTCTTCTTCTTCTTCTTCTTCGTATTCCAGAACTGTGCCGCTATCCCCTTGGTATGACGGGAGGACAGATTCAGGACGAGGACATCTCTGCCTCCAGTCAGTGGTCCGAATCTACGGCTGCGAAATTTGGCAGGCACGGCTAACTACATGTTTATTTTTGTCGGGCAATTTTCTCGAATAAACAGTCTGTGGAGACAGAGGACAAAGCGATAATCTGTAAAAACACACAAAAAAAAAAGTATCGCAAGAGTCAACATGACAGTAGCTGAAGCGCAGTCGATTGCGATAAATAAATAAATGTTAGCCAAACATAACCAAACCACAAAAGAGAAATATATACAACAGAAAAGGCCCAGAGAAAAATAAAAAAATGTCCCAAAAAATTGAGCCGACATCCAGAAAATTAGGTCAAATGTACCCAGAATGGTTACATTAAACAAAATATGACGACGTTATTCAGAAATAGCTACAGATTAAGGTGAAGGTCAAATAAACGATGTTATACGCAAGTAAATCGTACAGGTAATAAAATAAAAATAAAAAATACAGACAGAGCTCCGCTTAATGCAGAACTAACTTAACAAGCTAACGTATGCAGCTAGGCAAAAATACGACAGCTGAACAGACCTATAATGTAGCCAAAAATGTTAGCCAGAATAGCATGAAATTAGCAAAAAAACTATTCCAGAATTTCCTTCAAAACTGTGTTAAATGAATGTAGTTCCTCTACAAAAAATATATATATAAAAAACAAAAATAATAATATAGCCAAAAATAGCTATAATATACGCAAATATATTTGAAGCTAACTAGCTAGTCTGCTAATGATCTAAAATGTTAAAAAACACACACAAAATAATAATATAGCCAAAAATAGCTATAATATACGCAAATATATTTGAAGCTAACTAGCTAGTCTGCTAATGATCTAAAATGTTAAAAAACACACACAAAAAAATGTAATAGTTTAATTGTCAACGGTGTACAAATCTTTAACACCTTTTTTTTTAAACATATTCTTGCAGTTCGACACTCATTTTTCTCTCAAATCACGAGGAGCCACATTTAGCGCTAGCCCTGGCAGCTAATTAGCGGAGTAGTCTGGTGCTGAGCATGTGTGAAGGTTAAAAAGTGGGGTGAGTTAAAAAAAATGAAGGGGGGTTTTTTTTTTTTTTTTTTTTACCTTGACCTGTGACATTGTAAGGTAATGGGAACGCTGTCATGCATACAAAATACCTGCATACCGTGGCAGAAACGCATTTTTCCCTCCTTACATGTTCCGTCTGCTTTCTACTTCCTGTCTGCACTTTTTATTTGGCCTCCTCTGTTTATTTCTAGAAATATTTTCTTTTCCCCACGTTTTTAATCTTTTTTTCCCCTCCCTCTCTTCTCTTCCTCTACCTCTTGAACCCTTCGCCCTCGGTTTCCGTCACCGTGTCTCATGTTTTCCACCACCTCAGACTCGACTCCGACAACGGAGACGGAGATGGGGCCTGGTGCCCTGACATGCTGTCGGAGGCGGACAGCTTCAAGGACTATCTCCAGGTGGACTTGCGCTCGCTGCACTTCATCACCCTGGTGGGCACGCAAGGACGCCACGCCGACGGAATGGGAAATGAGTTCGCCCAGCGATACGTGATTCAGTACAGCCGCGACGGGAACGACTGGTTGGAGTGGCATGACAGGAAGGGGAGGCAGGTGAGCTGCTGGGGGATGGCGACCTTTCGCGGTGACCTTTCATATTTAATAGTAGGACGTGATTTAATTTAAGGCGGTCTTTCTTTTTCTCTCCAACGTGATTCAGTCATTCACAGTAATGTCTACTGATACAGAAAATTCACAATAAAAAACAATTGAAGAGAGGAAGGATGGAAGTAAGGAAGAAAGGAAGGAGGGAGCGCAGGAGGATAGGATAGAAGGAAGGAAGGAAGGAAGGAAGGGAAAGTAGGAAGGAAGAAAGGAAGGAGGAAATTGTCCTTCCTTAACTGAAGAAAGAAAGCAACAGAGATAGCAAGAGAGCGAGAGAAAGAGGAAAAAGAGGAGGGAAGGAAGGGAAGAAAGAAACATGAAGAAAGAAAGATAGAAAGAGGGAGAAAGAGAAAAAAAAGAAATAAAAATAGGAGGGAAGAAAGGCGGGAATGAAGGTGGGAATGAAGGCGGGAAGGAAACGTAGAGAGGAGAGGAAGAGAGGAAGGAAGACAAGACAGAAGAAAGAAGGAAAGAAAGATAGAAAGAGGGAGAAAGAAAAAAAAAAAAAAAAAAAAAGAAAAAAAAATAGGAGGGAAGAAAGGAAGGAAGAAAAGCCTGAAGAAGGAAAGAAAGAAAGAAAGATATGTGAATGACTAAATAAAAAAAATAAGAATTAAAAAAAAACAAATTTTGCCTATTTGTTAAATAATATTGTCACATCTGAAATTGTACACTTCTCATAACGGTGCATTAAAGTAATACATTGTCAGAATACAGCTGGATACGGGGGAGCAGAGGTGAATCATGAATTCATGAGATGCGGGCCTCTCGTTTGGTTTCATCATTCATCGCGCTGCCTCAGTATCAGTCTGGTGACATCTGCCTCTCCTCCGTCAGGTCATAGAGGGGAATAGAAACGCCTATGATGTGGTTCTGAAGGATCTGGAGCCTCCCATAATAGCTCGATTTGTCCGCTTCATGCCTGTGACGGATCACTCCATGATCGTGTGTATGAGGGTGGAACTCTACGGCTGCGAATGGCTCGGTTAGTCACCGCTACCATGTGTTTGTGCATCTCTTTCATTTTTAAAATCTCTCAAACGGCCAAATTCAACCCCCTAGTGGTCCGTTCCTGGCCCACGGGCCGTATGTTTGACACCCTTGGTCTAATACCTAAGCTATCATTTTAGCAAACTTCACAAACATGAAATGTTGGTACATTTTTCTCACTTTAAAAATTCATCAAGCGGGCCGGATTGAACCCCCCAAGTGGGCCGGTTTTGGTCCACGGGCCGTATGTTTGACACCACAAAAAAAAATGCACCACAGTTGTAAATTGTAACTGGTGACAACTTTCTGGAACCCTGCAGTAAGTCCATGTGTCCTCATGTTCTTGTCCATGTCAGATGGTCTCATGTCCTACAGTATTCCCGACGGGCACCAGATGATCTACAGAGGCCAGGACGTCTACTTCAATGACTCTGTGTACGACGGAGCCTTAGCTGAGAGGTCTGTATTTATTTAAGCATGGGCAAACTATGGCCCGGGGCCCAGATGCGGCCCGTTTGGCTTTTTAATCCGGCCCACCAAACCTGTCCAAATTATATGTTATTAATTTCTATTTTCATTATATTTCTGCCTTTCCCCTGCAATGCCTGCATTTCCCCAGTAGATGGCATAGAAAAGGCTAAAAGCATGTTAGCATTTTAAGCCTTTATTGACAGACTTTTACATGTCATTTATTTTAGTTCATACAAACGCTCCATCTATCTGCTCCTGACCCGGCCCCGCATCAAATATTAGGATCAATTGTGGCCCGCGAGTCAAAAAGTTTGCCCACGCTTGACCTAGCGCATACACCGCTAATACTACAAATCAACGCTAGTACATATTCGATATGATCTCGCGGGCCAAATATAATTACACTGTGGGCCAGGTTTGGCCTGAGTTTGACACTTACACGCAGTAGGTCCTGGGATCGAGCCCCAGAGGAACTACATGCGTTATAGCACCTCCAGTGGCAGCCCGTGTGGGTTGCAGTGTCCCATTGTGGGACAAATAATGAACTTAATTTTGTTTTTTTAAATATAAAATGCTGATTAGTAATCTAAAATGCATCTCTCCCTCAGACTGACGAAAGGCCTCGGCCAGCTGACAGATGGCACGTGGGGTCAGGACGATTTCCTCCACACCCAAACGTACAGCATGTGGCCCGGTTACGACTTTGTGGGTTGGAACAACAAGAGCTTCCCGAAAGGTTACGTGGAGGTCATCTTTGACTTCGACCACGTTAGAAACTTCACGTCTATGAAGGTATGGTCGTGTATGAAAATATTATGAAGCTGCTTTAAATTCAATTTAAATTTAGATTCAAAACTTAAAACGTACTTACCGCAGGTCCACTGCAACAACATGTTCAGTCGAGGCGTCCGGATTTTCCGACAAGTCACCTGCTACTTCAGATCGGGCACAGAATGGGAGGCCGACCCGGTGACCTACCGACCTAACCCCGACCGGGTCAGCCAAAACGCACGTTTCGTCCCGGTGTCTCTCGGAGACCGCACGGCCAGTGCCATCAAATGTCGGTTCCACTTTGGCGACCTGTGGATGCTGTTTAGCGAGGTAGCCTTCCAATCAGGTGAGAGAAATGTAAATGTGCTCTACACCAGCACTGTCTGAACTTCTAGTTATTGTCAAGTTTTTTTTTTTGACACATACAGGTTCTGCTGTCTACAATACATCTTTAGCTCCCCGCAAACACGGACATCCTGGAACCACAATCCCAGGTCTGCATCCAAACCTTTGTGAATTTTTTTTTATTTTTTATTATTATTTCAAAACGACTAGTATCAAGAATTGTACCAAAAATAAGCAACTTACATCTTTGTGAATTTTTTTTTATTTTTTATTACTATTTCTAAAACTTACATTTCGCCCGCCTTTCATACAAGAGATACTAAAACCTAAACTAAAATGTTTTTGGACCTGGATATCGGTTTCATTTTAGGAGTTTTTACTACGTAATAATCAGTCTTCTTAGGCCAAATGACTGGGTCCCTCCTCGCTAACTACAGTGTCTCTGGGTTTAACAATAGCTGGCATCCTTTGTCTGTCTTTTACTGGTTACATTTGTATTAAGAAATGTAAAAAAAAAAAGAAAAAAATAGGCCTCACAGTGGATAAAGTTCATTCAATGTGGAATAAATTCAGATTTTTTTGTTAACATTGCCCTCTAGTGACAATGTAAGGAATTACTTATTACAGTAATGGCACAGAATGGGTCTCAATGTTACTTTTTTTTTTTGATTTGACCTCCTTAAATTTCGACAGGTGAAGATCCAACTCATAAGGTGGACGACAGCAATACCCGGATCCTGATTGGCTGTCTGGTGGCCATCATAGCCATCCTTTTGACCATCATAGTCATCATACTGTGGAGGCAGGTGTGGCAGAAGATGCTTGAGAAGGTTGGAGTCCCATCTTCTTACTCATCCCCTTAACCTTCTTTGTGAGTCGGCAGTTCACTTACCACTTGTGCTAACTGTTGCTAACACCTCTTACAGGCGTCGCGACGTCTGCTGGACGACGAACTCACCGCTCGCCTCGCCTTCCAAACTCAGGCCTTCTCCTACCGCCACTCCTCCCTTTCCACCGAGGACGGCTCCAGCTCGAACTCCACCTACGAGAGGATCTTCCCCCTGTGCGGAGACTACCAGGAGCCCTCGCGCCTCATCCGGAAGCTCCCTGAGTTTGCTCAGTCCACGGAGCGCCTGGGTAAGATGCTCAAAGGTCACTCTCAACCACGTAGGAAGTTCTGTATTGATTACGCAACAACTTGTGTGTGTGTGTTCCACTGTAGTGCCGGCCTCGACAACCAGTGGTTCTGACGGTGCACCGCACTATGCAGAGGCGGACATTGTTAGTTTGCAGGAGACACAGGACGTCAACAAATCAGCCATCAATATGGATCTCTTCGCTGGCACCGACTCGTCCATGAAAGAATTCCCAAGACACAAGCTCACGTTCAAGGAAAAACTAGGAGAGGGCCAGTTTGGAGAAGTATTTAATACCAATACTTTATTACTATTATTATTATTGTTCAACTGCTGTGCATATGGAACCCTTCTGGTTTGAATATTTTCTATTATTATTGTTGTTAATAATAATAATCATCAATAATCATCATCATCATCATCAATGTTAATACATAATTATATTAATTATAATAAATATCAATATAATAAATAGGAAATATATTATTATATCATTAATACTAGAATTACTATTTATAATAATAATGTTATTATTATTATTTACTACTACTTATTATAACAATAATGAAATTAATAATAGTACTCATTATTATATCACTATAATAATAGTTATTATTCTTATTATTTAATACAAATTTTAAATCTCATAATATTTACCTATAGTTGATTTTGCTAATGAAAATGACTTTTTAAATTTTTTTAAATATATTTGATTTATCTCTGTCTTCTCCATCCTATAATTTTGACGTGTCTATATTGATTTACAATAATACGTTGTGTTTTTTTTTTTTTAAAGAATGATAGATAATGCTTTGTATTGCGATTTCAAGTGTGTGTTTGTGCGTGTATCCAGGTGCACTTGTGCGAGGCCGAGGGGATGCAGGAATTTCTGGGCAAGGATTTGTCCATCGAGGGCAACGACGAGTCACCCCTGCTGGTTGCCGTGAAAACCCTGCGAGAGGACGCCAATAAGAATGCGAGGTGAAGAAGTGTCGCTGACGTACGCTTGCACTGGTAAACGGATGGTCTCCTCTTTAACATTAAGCTGTTTGTTCCCGCTGTGCTGCAGAAATGACTTCCTTAAGGAGATCCGTATCATGTCCCGTCTGAAGGACCCCAACATTGTCCGTCTGCTGGCGGTGTGCGTGGACACGGATCCTCTGTGGATGATCACGGAATACATGGAGAACGGAGACCTGAACCAGTTTCTGTGCAACCTCAGACTCAAGGAAGTGGCCTGTGAAGAGAGCACACGAAAAGAGGAGAAGGACGGGGGCAGGTAGGCGCAAGTCTCTATGAACGTACAATACATATGCAGGTGGACATTATAGCTTGTAATGTAAATTATTATTAATATAAAAAGTTTCCAAAGACTGGGTCGCGACCCTCAGGTGGGTCGTAAGAGATTTTTTGGCATCATGTTTCCCAGGAGTTCACGGTTATTGCAGCAGCTGTTTGCATCCAACCTCAAAATAGCTGCCAGTTTAATAGCTCCCCCTGTGGTTATGTTTAAAACTATATACTAATTTATTCAGATATCACTAAAAAAATATCCTCATAAATGTTCAATAATTAAGCACACGGATTTAAATAATTTGTGATATTGTTTTGCTTTTAGCTACAATAAACTGATCGGGATGGCAGTGCAGATTGCATCCGGAATGAAGTATTTGTCCTCCCTCAACTTCGTCCACCGTGACCTGGCCACTCGCAATTGTCTGGTCGGAAAGGAGTACACGATAAAGATCGCCGATTTTGGCATGAGTCGAAACCTGTACAGAGGTGACTACTACAGGATCCAAGGACGGGCTGTGCTGCCTATTCGCTGGATGTCGTGGGAAAGCATCCTGTTGGTGAGTTATTGAGAATATCCGTTTAGTGACTGCACATATCAGAGAAGCCGTCGAAATCAATCATCTTTTTTTTCTTTTTTTTTCAGGGCAAGTTCACAATGGCCAGTGATGTATGGGCCTTCGGTGTAACACTGTGGGAGATTCTAACTCTGTGTAAGGAGCAGCCTTACTCCCAGCTCTCTGATGAGCAGGTCATTGAAAATACAGGGGAGTTTTTCAGGGACCAGGGCAAGCAGGTAACATCAAATAATAAAAAAAATGTTCAGAAACCTAAATAATTTTTTTCCTATCTAATATTCCCATACTATTATCTTCCCAGATTTACCTGCCGAAGCCGCCGTGTTGTCCCGAAAGACTGTACACTAACCTGATGCTCAGCTGCTGGAGAAGAAATGCCAAGCAAAGGCCGAGCTTTCTGGAAATACACACTCAGCTGATGGAGAGTCTAGCATAGCAAAACACAACCTCTCCCCTGTCAGATGTAAATACTGCCTTGTCGCAATGTGTGCTGTAAATGAACGGGTCCGCACTCGATAGTGTTATATTTAGTTTAAATAAATAGGGTGTCTACACCTATGTATATTTGTTACTAACTTTGAATATTTATTTATTTTAAGTATTTGAAATGTTTTTTTCAAATCTAGAAACACAGATAGCTAGCTAAGTTCATTTCTGTTTTCCGGTTATTTTGCTCAACTGCTGCCTTCGGTTTCATGTCAACATAATTCATATTTTTCCATTAGTGCAACGGATAAAAACATCAACTAAATAGATATACATTTTTCATATCTGTGGCGCACATTTTAGAAGCCAGCACATTTCTTTGACTCTTTGTTGTTAATGTTATTGTTTGTTTTGTCCTGATTCATAAATGACTGTAAATTGCAAGTTATGTTTTTTTTTGTAATTTTACTTACTCTCCATGAATTATTGGAAATAATTTAATTGTGAATTGTTAAAATAGAAAGAAACATATTCTTTATATTATAAAGATTCAAGCAGTGATATTGTAAATAAGGTGAATAAAGTTTGGTGGAAGTTGACATCTATTTAATACATTTTAAAAAGGGTAGATTTTTCTCCTTGACATTGAAGCATTATTAACTGATGCATGGATTCATTATTAAAAAATATTTTTAATTTAAATGTCCCGTTTAACGTTTCCTTCGTCTTTCCATACACTTCTTCTAAAGCAGGTTTATTTTTCGGTAATATTCAACACAATTGTGCAATTTAACACATTTTTTAATTGCCAAAGTAAACACATTACATTTATAAGTTAATACTCAATTAGCAAAGCTATATATAATATATATATATTATTTTATTTTTTACAATTTGTTCTTTGTGTAAATTGTTACACCTATTATCGTTTCGCGTCTATATTTTGTAACTTCTCGCTCGCCGTACTTAAACGAAGCCGATTGGTTGTGCCTTCGATGACATCATCCAATCATACCACGCTAAAGCTTGAGCATATAGGCTGCTTGGTTGTGAGCGGAATCTGCCGATGGGCTGAGAGGGGCGTCCCGGTGGACAAAGTTCCTGTTTCCAGTCTTCGGTTTTGAGACTTGAAGAGCTGTACTTAGAAATGGAGAAAGTGGTCATCGTCACTGGCGCCAACAGGTCTGACGTAATAACTTTTACTAGGTTTTTAATTAATAATACTGTCGAAGGTTTGTCGAAGTCAGACACAGTCGCCGGTTCACGCTATAACTTTACGGCGACTAAACTAATATCACGAATTAAGAAAATAAAAATACACTAAAAACGAAATTGTGAAATGTGGTGTTGTTAATAAGTGACATAATCCTTATATACATTTAATTATTTTGTTTTGTGTTAGTATTACTCTATTATCGTGTGCATTCTATGTTTTTTTATATAACAGTTGTGTTTACTACAGCATAGAATAGTACACACTTTCTAAAATTGCATTTACAATAGATGATGTAATTTATTTAAGTTTTATTTTTAGGTACCGTGTGTATGATTTGTATTGATAACGCTACACAAAGCTGTCACTTTGAATAAATATATCTCTATTGGTTTTACACAGATCTACAGGACTGACTAGGACAATGTGTATATATGACAGGTTGCATGTTCTCTGGTTTCCTTCTCTTTACAGTGGCGTCGGCCTAGCTCTGTGTGAGAGGCTGTTGACAGAGGACAGTCAGCTCCGTCTGTGTCTGGCCTGCAGAAACATGCAGCGGGCCCAGGCTGCCCGTTCTGCCCTACTCACCTCCCACAACAATGCAAATATTGACCTGCTGCACCTCGACGTGGGCTCCGTGGAGTCAGTGTTAGCCGCTGCTCAGGAGGTCAAGGCCAGGTAAGAAAAAAAAAGTGGTAATTTACATACAATAGTACATGGTTTCCCAAAGACTGGGTCGTGACCCTCAGGTGGGTCGTCTCACATCATGTTTCCAAGGAGTTTACGAATAATGTCTATTGACATATATATATGTTTGTACGAATAATGTCTATTGACATATATATGGGATAAAGGAGTTTACACTGCTATAGTGTATGTCTATATATCTATAGTGTGAATAATTTTTGATTTTTTTTTTGTGGTTATTTGTGTTTTTCCTGTAGGTACAACAGAATTGACTTTCTGTATCTAAATGCTGGGATTATGCCGAATCCACAAATCGATTTCAAGGCTTTTTTCAAGGGCCTGTTCTCCAAGTGAGTTTTCATCTTATGTTTCTGATTTGCATATTATCCACAAGTCTGTCTTTTTATTTTTATGACGTCGGCTCTTAATTTGAACTGTATACAGCAACTGTTTGTGCAGTTGTGTAACAATATGCACTGTCCCTGCAGGAATGTCATCAACATGTTTGCTACAGCAGAGGGTCTCTTATCTCAACAGGATCGACTCAACTCGGATGGACTGCAGGAAGTTTTCGCCACCAATCTATTTGGTCATTTTCTTTTGTATGTACTATATATATATATATATATATATTATTTTCATTCATTCCTTTGTGTTTCACACCACCTCTGTTCCAGATTAGGGAGCTGGAGCCCCTGCTGTGTGGGACAGGAGACACATCCAGGGTAGTGTGGTCCTCATCCAGTAATGCCCGCCGCTCTGCCTTCAACATAGACGACATGCAGCACAGCAGCGGGACTGAGCCGTACAGCTCCTCCAAGTACGCCGTAGATCTGCTCAGCCTGGCACTCAACCGACATAAAAACAACCAGGTTTGTCTGTCTTCAACGTTCCAAGGGGCTCTGTAAAAATTACACTGTTACTTCTTTGTTTTTTTAAAAAAATGTTTTTAACGTTCCAAGGGGCTCTGTAAAAATTACAGTGTTACTTCTTTGTTTTTAAAAATTTTTTTTTTTTAATTTTTGCTCTTATGTCAGGGGCTGTTCTCTTCTGTAATATGTCCAGGACTGGTGATGACCAATCTAACCTATGGCATCTTGCCTTCTTTTTTCTGGACTCTCATTATGCCCATCATGTGGTTGGTGAGTGTTTTTGGATGCATATTTATAGTATGTTTTTACAAACTAAGGGCATAGTATATGAACTGCAAAAAAAAAAAAGTATAAGCCTCAACACAAAATTTAAATAGCATTAAATATTAGCAATATGTTTGACCCTTTTAAAAATCAAATTTTGACTTTTATTAAATTAAATAAGAGCCTAAATGTCTGTATTAAATAAACGCAAAACTTCATGCTGAGTTAAATTATTTTTGTATCTATAAGTTTCATTGCAGATGTCCTGAAACTAGATTTCAGAGCTACACATTATTTTCCAATTCTATGATGTGATATATATGTGCAAGAATATTACGTGTATTTACAGTGTGTAATGTTCCCATTGTGCTAAACAGATCAGGATCTTCACCAACACCTTCACATTAACGCCTTACAATGGAGCAGAGGCACAGGTAAGTTCTGAAAGTTCTATTTCTGTCGGCACAATAAATACATTTTTTTCTGTGACTCATTTTCCTCTCTGTTTTTTTTAAAGCACTGGCTGTTTCTCCAAAAGCCAGAGTCTCTGGATCCAAGAGCAAAGTATCACAGTTTAACATCAGGACTGGGCAAAAACTACGTCGAGTCTCGACAAGTGAGTCCAAAGATGAACTGCTTAAAGCGTCACATGTATCGTCAGTTGGCCTGTTAAGACGAAATAATTGATTTTGTGTGTTTATGTTACAGATGGACATTGATGATGAAATGTCTGATGTCCTTTACTCAAACATTATTGAGCTGGAGCAAGAAGTTCGAAGTAAAGTGAGCAAGGCCAATACCGCAAAGTATGGAAACAGAGAGAGATAGTCAATCAGGGTAAATGTTTTCTCAACATATTTTTAGTGGAGAAGAGAGGAGAAGCAAACATGACATGACTCAACTTTAACAACTGATTTCATGCAATAAATAAATCTCTATCCATCACTTGTATTATTTTAAAGTTAACGTTTAACCGTTTATGTATGGAGGGAAGGAGAGTAGCTTTGTCGCCCTCTTGTGGATAACAATATGAATGATGCCGTTTCATCCGTTAAATGTGACGCGTTTTGAAAAGTCTGAATTAGTTTGGTTTTATTGTTGTATACTGTACATGGTAAGTTGTAGTTGCGCGGTATTTATGAGGGACACATACGTAGAATAGCAGTATTCGAGTTCATTCAACATGGAAAAGCCTGATGGCGCTGGATTATTTGTTAATTTTACCTTCGTACCCCGCCAATTTAAAGTCGGAGTTTATTACATAATTCCTCAAGAATATGGCAGCATCAAATAAAACAAGGCTATCAACGATAAAACCTAATAATGTAACCGTCAACTTCATAACTTATAATAGTCAGTCCTTGTAATAGGCTGTTACCGGGTGCAATACCAAGATTTGCCACGCGGGAGCAATGTTTACCATATTTTAGTGCATTTATTATAACACTTCTGCCATCTGTTGGTCATTTTAGTTCTGGCAGCAGCATTTAAAAAGTACAGAATGTCCACAAATGCTTGAACGTTTTAAAGCCATCAATAAATACAGTATGATGTTTTGTTTTGTTTTTCCTGCAAAGCAACGCACGCTCCTTGTAGCCTTTCCCGCACATTCACGGCAACTTCATGCATTGTTATTCTGTTGACTGCTAATTAGTTTTAGACATCAAAAGAAGAAAAAAGGAATCAAAGGACTTAAGTCAAAGAAGCGCATAAATATACCCTTGATTTAATAAAGCAAAGTAAAGAAAACATGTCTAAATAAAAACCATCACCACTGCTTGCATCACGGAGAGGCTATTCCAGCTACTGTTCAAAACAAACCACGAAAACAGCTGATTCTGTCACACACACACATCCTTGAATTTAAAAGTGCTTATGTGAATAAAGACCCAACGTTTTTTTTATCCGTGAATGGGCCTGTCCTACACGTAAACCCGGATAATCCCAGTACAGAACAGGAGAACTCATGGTCGTTACATAATGAAAACAAGAGAGCAGACGCTGCGCGTTCGCGACAGTGCGCGTTCTCGGTGTCCCGGATGACAGCTCTCGCACCGGAAGAGAAGGCGCAGCTCTCCCAGCCATCTTGTGGCAGCGTCCAGCGAATTGTTCGCATCAAGCCTCGTAGAATCGGAGGTGAATCCCGCTGAAGGGGCGCCATCATGCCCGGACACCTGCAAGAAGGTTTCGGCTGCGTCGTAACCAATCGGTTCGACCAGTTATTGGATGACGAGTCGGATCCGTTTGAGATCCTCAAAGCCGCAGAGAACAAGAAGAAGGAGGGGACTGCCTCTGGCTCCAGCAAAACCGCGGCTCAAGCCGCCAAGCAGCCGAAGAGGGAGTCCCAGAAGGACAGGAAGAACCCGTTGCTAGACAAGAAAGAGGAGAGCCAGCCGCCTATCCCTCTCAAAAAAGAAGGTACGGTCTGACAGTTTTTGTTTTTTTTTCTATTTTAGCCGCTCTTCTGTGTTGGCATTTGTGTTCTGTTTGTGTCATGTGCAGGTCCTGACTGTTAGCGACGTTAGCAGCAGCAGTTCTAGCTTCGAACACCCGCAGGTCAACACGGACCTTGTTCTGCTCTTATTAAAGGACATGCAGACTGAAGCGGTAGATGAACAGGTGTCTGCAGAAGCAGTTAATAGGGAAACAAAGCTAGGTTCTGCTAAGTGCTTCTCCCTGCAGCGAGACGGGGTTGTGTTGATACTGTCTCCTGGAGGAGGAGCTGGACAATGATGCTCCAGCAGTTCCCTCCATCACCATTCGCCTTTGCCACTATATTTATCCATAACGTGCTTTCAGTAACATTTTTTGAAACTTAAAAAAAAGTATTCGAAGACTCTTGTCTAATGGGGACAGAATTAATCAGTCGGTCATGCATTAATTTATCCATAACAGCGAACGGTTCTCCTTTGAAAGACCTATAACTGCGCCGCAGTTGTGTGGGTGCGCGCACGCACGCACGTGTATGTGTCATACAGTTGTAAACACATTTTGTGATTGTTAGCCAACGTTTAGCAAAACTAGCCTAATAACCCTATGTAATATGTAATTAATGTTATGCAAAATAACTACACGCTGATCCTTTTTGAGAAAAAAAATCATTTTAAAAAGTGAAAAAACAAATTACGTCACGATATATGCAGCCAATTAATGACATTTAACTCCGTACATTTAGTTGCATTAGCTCTTTGTAAGGAAAAAATTGGGGAAACTACTGAACATTAAAAACAGCATGTAAGATTATAGCATTTTAAAAGAAATACGTAAACATTGGCAAAGAAGAATGTCTTTATTAAAAGAAAATATTTTTTTTATTATTATTATATTTTAATTATTATTTATTATCCACAGGATATGTTCACAGGAGCTAGCCCTGGTACATTCTTTAAACAAGCAAAATATAAAATCTGCTACATCCTGTAAAAGTCCTGCATAATATTTACACTGGTATTAACACAGTAAAGTTTGGTGGTTACGTCTGCTTTATTTGAATATTCCTTTGAAATCAAATTCATATGTTCAAAACAGAGTAGTAAGTCGAGTAAATAACCTTTCCTCAACCCTAATTACATATATTATATATTATATTAATTTATATAATTTTACAGTGACAATGGCAGTGTCAAAAGTTAGATTTAGAGCTTCCTACAAACAATGATGGGCAGTGTGTCAGGAGCTTAGATGCACTATTTGCATGCAAATGGTGGAGAACATCCTCCTATCGTTCCAATTTTAATTTCCTCCTATTAAAGGTTGAAGCGAGCCAATCCCGGCTTCGTCAGTAACAGTTGTAGTTGTTACAAAAGTTTCCTTGCTTTTTGTGATTTGTAAGGAATCAGGCGTGTTGGCCGTAGACCAGACCAACAGGGCCAGTCTGGCTCTCAGCACCAGGGCGGGCAGGTCGAAGGGCGACCTGGAGACAAGAGACCAGACAGGAGACCTCCCAGAGAGCGTAGTTTTGAAAAGCCCACTGAGGACAAAATTGAAGGAGGGGGCGAGTTTACTGTGGAAAAGTAGGTATCTTTGATGGGAATATGCTAGGCTAGCACATTATGAATTAGACTCTGGAGCAACTGGAAAAACAGCCCAGAACATATTGTTTATGCTCGTGGTTTTCAAAAGTGGTACACTTATGTCCAGCATGCCGAATTCTATTGGAAGGCCCTCACACCCCCCGTCCCCATGGCACCTCACCGTGTGCCCCTATTTGAGAAGTACTGCCGTAATCCAAGATGGCAGTGGCAGAATTAATTGAATCTAAATTGTGACGTAGTACTTCTAGGTATATTAGTTGGCTTTTTTTTTTTTTTTTTTTTAGACATTGATTTGCCACCACAAAGTCCAGACTTTCCAACTGTGGCCTGACTCTAATGATGATCAATACAATGTTTTGGCAACCTCAAAGTGCGACTCTTGATGGGAATAAATTGTGTGTGACGTTGCGTAAACATTTCAGATTAATGCATGCTGTAATTAAAGCTATTGACGTAATGTGATAAGGAAATAATGGAGTGCACGTGCAAAGAGAGAGAAAAATGAAGTCAGACCGAGTCACTGGTTTTTTTTTCTCTCTCTCTGTGTTGCTGTGACTTTGAGCTGCTCTGATCTGGTTAGCTCACTAGTGTTAAATTCTTCTTTTCCAAGGCCTTCTGGAGACAGGCCCCCGAGAGGGCGTGGTGGCGGCCGTGGTGGGCGTGGTGGAAGAGGACGGGGAATGGGCCGAGGAGATGGTTTTGACTCCCGTGGGAAACGGGACTTTGACAGACACAGTGGCAACGACAAACCGTAAGTCAACGATGGGCTAATGGCTAACTCTAGGTTAAAAAATGTTCTTTTCTACTTAAAGCTGTCCTTTGTTGTTTAAATTTTTTTTTTCTTAACTCAGTGGTTCTCAGTTATTTTCTGTCCCTCTCCCAGATCCCCTCTGCCCCCTCCGACCCACACTGTTGAGACCCTGATAACGTATATTTTTATCTGTACAAACCACTGTAAGAGTTGCTGCCCCCTAGTGGCTGGAGGCTTGTTATCATTGAAGCATTACAGCAGTGGTACACTTATGTCCAGCGTGCCATATTCCATTGGAAGCCCTCCCAGAAGTGTTCTGAGTCTGAGTGTACAAACACAGTTGTTTGTACACTCAGACAGTTTAAAGTCTAAATTTAGTATCTGCACTACTTTCTGTCTCATTTAGGATTATTTCCACGTTTTGTGAACAACCTCCTTTTAATGTGTCTGTAGCTGCAGGCCTCAAGAATATTGGCACTGCTTTCATTATCGATGTTTGTTTTTTTTTTTTTTTTTCTAGCAATCAGAAAGGTGAGGAGAAGCGGAGTGGTGCTGGCTCCCACAACTGGGGCAACGTAAAGGAAGAAGTGAGGTGAGTTTTCCCAGAGGAGCGCGTGATCCTTATGCCATACAAACTGCACATACAGTATCCAAGTCAGAACACTTTTGGTGCTGTCCTACTCTACTACTTTCACTTTATGTCGAGAGTAGTTTGAACCACTCAACATTAGAGAAAGTATTTACACAAATGGACTTTGAGAAAATGTATCAGACCACAATTTAATGTTGCGTTGTGCAGAAATAGCTGTTCATCTATAGCACCCCCAGGAGGGTGCTCCAAAGCACAACGGGCATGCTCTTAGTGTGCCAGAGCTGTGTTTTTTTTATTGTTTATATAAATTAAATGCTGCATGGTCTGTCACAACCTCCCCCCAAAAACGCTGTGTTCTCTGTAGACCTGCAGTTAGAGAGTAGAGAGTAGTAGAGAGGTGTCTCCAGGCAGACCATGTTGATCCATTGTTTCAATTTTACTGTTCTCCTTTTTGGTTTACCTAAACCACAAATATAAAATGCAATGCCCATATTTTAAGGCTAAAAAAAGGCTTAATTGTTTTACCGATTTATTACAGTTCAATCTTTTTCCCAGTTATGTGCCACGCTGGCATCCTTTGAATGTCGCGACTGTCCTCTGGGTCTGGGTTTTTTTATAGCTTAACATTTTTACTCGGGAACATTCTCACATTTGTCAAAAAAATGGAGGAAAAAAAAGGAAAAGAAAATAGAGGAACAATGAACACTGCCAGCAATGAATCACTGTGTATTTCTGGAAATGTGTCAAATAATTAGTTTTTCCCATTTAGGAAATTCTTACCCATGAAAAATGACTAAAAAACAATTGATTCATTCCAGCCCCCAGAAATATACTATTAATTAATTAAATAAAAAATCCCCAAACAAATAGATATAACCAAATATATTAATAGTACAAAATAATAATAATTAAGTAAACATTTTATATTGTGGTAAAAATGGGTAAAATAACCAAGTGCGGGACAGTAAGCCGAGGCCCCACTGTAGTTGTTTTTTTTCTGATATTTGAGTCTGGAAGGATGGAGCCAACCCTAACGTAAATAAATCACAATCAGTTCTAACTCTGGTATAGAACCGTCTAGAATTTTTTTGTTTCTCTATTCTGACATAATACTCATTTATCACATATTTAACTGTCACTGATCAGCCTTGTATGTATTTATTTGCAGTGAGACCGAAC